GGGGGGGCGGGGGGCTGCAGAATCATGGGTGTTTCCTTCTGTAACTTCTGCTTAAGGATACCCTGAAGAAACCAACACTGATCTGTCTCCACTGCAAAACGAATTTTTTTCTTACTTCCGGGAATCCCTACCTTTTCTTACGCACCGATCTCTATATGACCCAAGATGTAGCGAGGATGTTCAACCTCAAACACACGAAGAGTGTCGTCTGTAGCAGCAAGTGTTATCTGTAGCATGTATTCGGTCGAAGTACTTCTTAGATAAGCGTCCACAGAACTAGTAGTGCCATGAAATCGAAGATTTTAACGGGGATCTGGATTATTTTTTTGTTCTTTCTGAGAATGCGTATTATAATAGAACATTGTTATATCACGATGTATTTTGTAAACATGTGATAGTCCCTAAAAACGTATTACTTGTTCTTTGAAATACGGCATACTTCTGTTCGGTATTTACAATGTATCGTACACATATACCAATACAGTATTATCTGACGGTGTATTATGTTAAAATGTCAATAAAATATGTGACATGGTAATTTAAAACTCAATACCTATGTATTAAAAACATTAAACTCGCAACTGATATTTATGTAAAGTATCAGACACAATTCGATTGTAATATCATTTGACGATGTGTTATTTGAACGCGCCATTGTAATATGTTTCACTGGTAACAAAAAGCTTAATACATGTGTATTGAAATATACTTTACCTGTAACACTGACCATTGTATCATACACAGTCTCAACACGTTATGTGACATACCAATTTATGTAAATACTTATCTATGTATACATGTATAGTGACATTGATGCACACTCAATAGTATTGTATTTTTGGGGTGTTTAACGTCCTCGCAACAGCCAGGATCATATGAGGACGGGTGCCTAGGGAGACTCCACCCGAAATAGAAAGTAGATAGAAAAGAAAGATGACAGGAAAGATAGGAAACAAAAATATCCCAAGTGTTGCAATGGGGACAGCTGATAACTTTTGGTCTCTTCCGTATATTCTTAGTAAAAAGACATAGAAGAAAATTCCCGATTCAGTAGAGAGCTCCACATTAGGCGCCTCTTATGAAACGTGTACAGTGGGATACGCTTGGTTTCTTCAATGTCCCCTGAACATAAGGCAAGGCAAAAATCAGGCCTGATTATGCAGGGGGGGGGGGGGGGGGGGGGGGGTAGTGTTGTAAAAGCATGCACTTTGGGCTTGAAGTCTATAATACTGAATACATATTGAATATTTATTTCACTGTTTATCCGTTTGTTTACGTTACATGTCATTCAAAACTCGAGTGCTGACTTTTAATTACAAAACTGTTTACGATATATCATCTATATTGGCACAGACTTGTCCATGTGATGGTAGAGTACTACATTTTGGCGAGGTGGAAAACGGGAAGCTGGAACAAGTGAAAGGGGTGATATATTCTCTTCAAGACTTCCTCGGACCCTTGCCACGGAAAGAGGGAGACGAACGCGTTTTATCCGACGAATATGAATACGTGTTATCCGATGAAAAATACTCTAAACATTTAAAGATAAAAAGTGACAACTATCTGTATCACTGTGTGATATACTTGGCGCCAGGGGATTACCACAGATTCCACTCAGCTGCAAACTGGACGGTCGAGCACCGGAGACATTTCCCGGGTACGTACTGTAGACCCACCCCATTGTAGACCCACCACTCCCCCCTATTCCTTTGTCCGTCACTTATTGGGGATGCAACGATATATCGCGATATTTTGAATACGTTACGGTACACAATATATTTAGGAGGTCGCAATAGCCAACAGTATTTTCCGGATGTTGTCGTTTCTGAATTTAGTCTACTTATATCCATTCCAATATGGCGAGCGATAGCTCATGCTCGGTACGCATGTCGAAAGACGTGAATTGTGTGAAACTTCAAAGTAATGACCATTTTGGACCAAGTCTATTTCCAGTTGTAATCTGGCCATTAAAACGTTGCAACATATCTTTTCTCTTTGCTACTACTGTTACTATTTGTATCGCGATACGTATCGTATGGTGTCAGACCACAGTATCGTGATACATATCGTTTCGTCATGTTAATGTATCGTTACAGCCCTATCACTTACAAACATATGAAAGCCATTGAAAAAACACATAAGATAAACAGTGGAAAAGCATTGTGAGAATGTAAACATCAAATTTAAATAGAGCTTTTTTCGGTGTATCAAAACTAATTAACAAGACTAGCTGAACGGATTGTAACCTAATCTAGTATGAATTAAGGAAGGAAATTCCGCATGAACGCGATAAAATGGACGGATGTTTCAGATACGTCTCCGTTGGATACGTATATTTGATATGCAATGTCTCAAATTCGAAAATGCCCTGAAACATTATTTTGCACGATATTGTGAAATCATATATTTCCGTAAGACCCAATTTTCGTGGTTTCCTGGAAAAATACCATTTTTTGGGTACATGAATTCGTGGAACATGGGTCTTGAAGCCCAAAATACCCTCTGGATCCGCCACTGGTACCCACTCATACGCAGAATTGATTTATGTTAAACTTGTTATTACTTCATGGATCTATGAATTTATGGAGGAAGATTACCCACGAAATCAACGAAGTTAAAAATAAAAACCACGAAAAATTGTGACTTCACAGTATTTACAGTCCTGGTAATAAAATAGAAATGAAGATCTGCATGAACTCAGCATCTCTTAATTCTGATTCCTTACTGATGTTATTTCTAGTCCTATAAATGCTCACAGGAATACGTATACATTTAAATATTGGCGACTATTGACTTTGTGACAGGCGACCTGTTGAGTGTCAGTCCACACGTGGTCCGAAGGGTAGCTGGTTTGTACAACTACAACGAGAGGGCGGTATACACGGGGAAGTGGGACTACGGTTTCTTCAGTTACACGGCCGTGGGGGCAACCAACGTGGGCTCCATCAAGACCTACTGTGACGAGGTAAGGTCCTGTCAAGAAATATAGTAACGTGGTTAGGACCAGTCGAGATTTATTGTGACAAAGTAGGACATTATCGGTTACCGTGCCGGGGTAAGACAATCTCAGGCTATGACAAGGCGTTGGGATTTACTGTGACAGGGTATAACACTATCGGGATCGCTTGTGGCAAAAGTAAGACCCGATCAAGAATTATATTCATCTCCTCATTGTTATTTTTGCCATTATATCATCTTGTTGATTTTACACCTCACTTCAAAAAGCTGTTAGTACATTTTTTGTACCTCGAAGATACATCACAGGCATTTAAGATATTGACATTTCCCCTAGACTTTTCTCTATATTGTTGACTCCACTTCCTTTTCCCCATTCCCATTTCTATGTCCTCACCAATACCTCCTGGACTGCATATTATGCCTTCTCTACGTCATTTCCATTGACAGCAATTTTCATTCCAATTCTACTGTTAGTTTTCGTCACCTTTGTTTCTAGTTTGCTCCTATATCATTGGCCTCTTGTTTTACACAAAACTGGGACACTTGCGTCGTTGCAAGCTCATTTTATGCCGCCTCCTTTCTGCTGTTGATGTTTCGTAAAATGGGAACGGTGATATGAATTAAGCATCTTTTATTCTGTTTGCAAAACCTGCTGATTAATCCGGTCACCGTTTTCTAACTGTGCACAATATGTCAGCGCCTCGTTGGCGTTTTTCACTGCTTCCCTCACGAGCATTCGCTACATTGCTCCATGGCGTTTTAGCACAATTGGCCAAGCGGTTAAGGCGTCTAACATTCTGCTACCACAAGCCCTCCATAACTGGGTCGTGGGTTCGAGACCTACATGGGGCAATCGCCAGGTACTGGCCGTCGGTCGGTGGTTTTTCTCCCCGGGGAACTCCGGCTTTCCTCCACCATCAAAACCTGACACGTCCTTAAATGACCATTATAGCTGTTAAAAAGACGTAAAACACATACAAACCAAACCAAACTACATAGATTACTTGGTAACGGTAATGGAGGTGTTGCAGTCTGATAGGTTTGCTTTCTATAGGCAGTTTTCACCACTAGACTAGAATAGTAACATCCCTGATAATACCGTCTACATTTTATGTTGTCCAAACATTCATTTTCTTCAAGAAAGCCGTGATATCCCCTTGCATACCCTCATTAGGGTGACTGTATATATCTAAACCGATATCCGACAGTTTATCTTGATCTCCTCTTTCAAGCTTTAATTTACCCCTGTAAGTACTGATTTCAAGTGTTCTGGCGAAGTAACTGTGTATCTTTCAAAATCAAAGTCTGACAGTTTCTCTGGACCTCCTCATTGAAGCCTTGATTAACCCATGTAAGTACTGATTTCAAGTGTTCTCGCGATTTGTTTAGCTACCCATCTACCATGGTGTTTCCTTGGCACATTCAACTTGTGTTTTGGTCTGCACTGTTGGTGCCTCTGTTTCAAAAAAGGGATCTGTTTGTATAGATTAACTATCATGCTGTCTGTCCGCTGCGCTGATGTCTCAAGATCTGCCTCGGACAAGTTTCTGTGAATGAATTATGAATTTACTGTGACAGGGTATAACACTATCAGGATCGCTTGTGGCAAAAGTAAGACCCGATTAAGAATTATATTCATCTCCTCATTGTTATTTTTGCCATTATATCATCTTGTTGATTTTACACCTCACTTCAAAAAGCTGTTAGTACATTTTTTGTACCTCGAAGATACATCACAGGCATTTAAGATATTGACATTTCCCCTAGACTTTTCTCTATATTGTTGACTCCACTTCCTTTTCCCCATTCCCATTTCTATGTCCTCACCAATACCTCCTGGACTGCATATTATGCCTTCTCTACGTCATTTCCATTGACAGCAATTTTCATTCCAATTCTGCTGTTAGTTTTCGTCACCTTTGTTTCCTTACTACATTCAAACATACGCGTTTAGTTTGCTTCTATATCATTGGTTTCTTGTTTTACACAAAACTGTGACACTTGCGTCGTTGCAAGCTCATTTTATGCCGCCTCCTTTTTGCTGTTGATGTTTCGTAAAATGGGAACGGTGATATGAATTAAGCATCTTTTATTCTGTTTGCAAAACCTGCTGATTAATCCGGTAACCGTTCTCTAACTGTGCACAATATGTCAGCGTCTCGTTGGCGTTTTTCACTGCTTTCCTCACGAGCATTCGCTACATTGCTCCATGGCGTTTTAGCACAATTGGCCAAGCGGTTAAGGCGTCTAACATTCTGCTACCACTAGCCCACCACAACTGGGTCGTGGGTTCGAGACCTACGTTGGGCAATCGCCAGGTACTGGCCGTCGGTCGGTGGTTTTTCTCCCCGGGGAACTCCGGCTTTCCTCCACAATCAAAACCTGGTACGTCCTTAAATGACCATTACAGCTGTTAAAAAGACGTAAAACACATACAAACCAAACCAAACTACATAGATGACTTGGTAACGGTAATGGAGGTGTTGCAGTCTGATAGGTTTGCTTTCTATAGGCAGTTTTCACCACTAGACTAGAATAGTAACATCCCTGATAATACCGTCTACATTTTGTGTTGTCCAAACTTTCATTTTCTTCAAGAAAGCCGTGATATCCCCTTGCATACCCTCATTAGGGTGACTGTATATATCTAAACCGATATCCGACAGTTTATCTTGATCTCCTCTTTCAAGCTTTAATTTACCCCTGTAAGTACTGATTTCAAGTGTTCTGGCGAAGTAACTGTGTATCTTTCAAAATCAAAGTCTGACAGTTTCTCTGGACCTCCTCATTGAAGCCTTGATTAACCCATGTAAGTACTGATTTCAAGTGTTCTCGCGATTTGTTTAGCTACCCATCTACCATGGTGTTTCCTTGGCACATTCAACTTGTGTTTTGGTCTGCACTGTTGGTGCCTCTGTTTCAAAAAAGGGATCTGTTTGTATAGATTAACTATCATGCTGTCTGTCCGCTGCGCTGATGTCTCAAGATCTGCCTCGGACAAGTTTCTGTGAATGAATTATGAATTTACTGTGACAGGGTATAACACTATCAGGATCGCTTGTGGCAAAAGTAAGACCCGATTAAGAATTATATTCATCTCCTCATTGTTATTTTTGCCATTATATCATCTTGTTGATTTTACACCTCACTTCAAAAAGCTGTTAGTACATTTTTTGTACCTCGAAGATACATCACAGGCATTTAAGATATTGACATTTCCCCTAGACTTTTCTCTATATTGTTGACTCCACTTCCTTTTCCCCATTCCCATTTCTATGTCCTCACCAATACCTCCTGGACTGCATATTATGCCTTCTCTACGTCATTTCCATTGACAGCAATTTTCATTCCAATTCTGCTGTTAGTTTTCGTCACCTTTGTTTCCTTACTACATTCAAACATACGCGTTTAGTTTGCTTCTATATCATTGGTTTCTTGTTTTACACAAAACTGTGACACTTGCGTCGTTGCAAGCTCATTTTATGCCGCCTCCTTTTTGCTGTTGATGTTTCGTAAAATGGGAACGGTGATATGAATTAAGCATCTTTTATTCTGTTTGCAAAACCTGCTGATTAATCCGGTAACCGTTCTCTAACTGTGCACAATATGTCAGCGTCTCGTTGGCGTTTTTCACTGCTTTCCTCACGAGCATTCGCTACATTGCTCCATGGCGTTTTAGCACAATTGGCCAAGCGGTTAAGGCGTCTAACATTCTGCTACCACTAGCCCACCACAACTGGGTCGTGGGTTCGAGACCTACGTTGGGCAATCGCCAGGTACTGGCCGTCGGTCGGTGGTTTTTCTCCCCGGGGAACTCCGGCTTTCCTCCACAATCAAAACCTGGTACGTCCTTAAATGACCATTACAGCTGTTAAAAAGACGTAAAACACATACAAACCAAACCAAACTACATAGATGACTTGGTAACGGTAATGGAGGTGTTGCAGTCTGATAGGTTTGCTTTCTATAGGCAGTTTTCACCACTAGACTAGAATAGTAACATCCCTGATAATACCGTCTACATTTTGTGTTGTCCAAACTTTCATTTTCTTCAAGAAAGCCGTGATATCCCCTTGCATACCCTCATTAGGGTGACTGTATATATCTAAACCGATATCCGACAGTTTATCTTGATCTCCTCTTTCAAGCTTTAATTTACCCCTGTAAGTACTGATTTCAAGTGTTCTGGCGAAGTAACTGTGTATCTTTCAAAATCAAAGTCTGACAGTTTCTCTGGACCTCCTCATTGAAGCCTTGATTAACCCATGTAAGTACTGATTTCAAGTGTTCTCGCGATTTGTTTAGCTACCCATCTACCATGGTGTTTCCTTGGCACATTCAACTTGTGTTTTGGTCTGCACTGTTGGTGCCTCTGTTTCAAAAAAGGGATCTGTTTGTATAGATTAACTATCATGCTGTCTGTCCGCTGCGCTGATGTCTCAAGATCTGCCTCGGACAAGTTTCTGTGAATGAATTAAGTTATGTTTTCAATTGTGTATTGGTTCTTCTAGACCGTGTTTCAGCTGGCCCCGACACCAGACTTGGACATTTTGACAAATAGATATCTGGTTTACTCAGTCTGGTGTCGGTCGGGGCCAGAGGAAACTCGGGCTAGGGGAATTCTAGATGTCTCGATTTTATCATTGATTTAATCGAGGTTTCAGGTGTTGCCGTTTTCTCTACTGTACAGGGACCCAAGAATTGGCTCACCTGTGACCAACTTCTCGGCTGTAAATATTACGTTTGCAATACACATATGTTTTCTTCTTCAAAGGAGCTGCAGACCAACATATATCAACACAAAGGGGAAAAATATCGGGACAAGAATCTCTGTGACCAAGACAACAACGGCTTGGGGATAAAAAAAGGATCCATGTTTGGAGAATTCAACTTTGGGTCCACTATTGTACTGGTGTTTGAGGCACCTAAAAACTTTAAATTCCGTCTGAAAGAGGGACAGAAGGTTAAATTCGGACAACCCATTGGAGCGGTTTCAGAATTTACAAAGTCAACACAAAATCTACTTAACGAGGGATAGCAGTGAATTTCCAGTTATTAGCATTACACATAACATCGCCAACGTATTTATTTTGGTGTTTGTGAATAAAAAGTCTTTCGGGATATTAAGTTATAACGATGTTCCGGGATGTTAAATTGTAACGGTTGTATAAATATATAATTGTCTAACTTAAAAAAAATGTTCGTATTTGTGTTTTCAAATGAAATGTCTTCCAGAATATTTAGTTGTAACGGTGTTCGGAATATTAAATTGTAACGGTTGTATAAATGTCTAATTGTCTAACTTTAAAAGGCGAACATTTTTAAGTCTACATACGTACTGTTTAAACAAGCACATGTATGTTCTGATTTCAAAATTGAATACGATTTCAGAGGATGACGTTACAATTTTTTTCTTTTTCTAGTGTGTATAATGAGTAAATGGTAGATTATACAACTAAATATGGGTAATTTCTTTTTACATCAATTTCACAGAATCATGGAGATTCATCATCAATGTTTATTATGACAATAGACATATATTATCTATACCGATTGCGATTTTCTTTTTAAATTCCTCCTGTTGAAAGATATTGCTTGTAGTAAACATTTTAGCAAGAATGAAAGTAGATTCATTTTAGAACTATGCAAATTAACGTGTCCAAAATGAGAATTCTCTCATAAGTAATAAATGTTTCATGGTATTTTCTTTTTAAATATTTCATAAAAAAAACTGTTCTTATGGAAAAATCATTACCAACACAATTTTATTTGTTCTTGGAAAAGCATAATATTTGGTATCAAAATTTGAAATCTGTTTCACACGACGATAACAGAATTTAATAATAATTGTGTCATTTAAAAACTTTTAGGAGCAATTGTATACCCACACATTTAACACCGACACAGGTGCTAGTCAACGACGTCACATTTGTCAAAAAAATGAATTCTGAAACTAACAGTTCCCGATTCAAGCTTCCTATACCCATTTTTTTCGTATTTATTTGGAAAGTCCAAACAGGGGTCAACGCTAATGTTAAATCTCCATAAGTGTTGACCCTACCTTTGCTATTCTAGAACAACCTTTACCCAAATTTGTTTCATTCATTTTGGATATTAGGTATAATCTAACATCCCCAAGACAACACTACATGTCAAAGTGATAGGTTTTATAATGCATTAGATAGTAAACGTTTGGTGCAGCATTTACAAATTCTATCCCGAGATAAATTGAAGTTGCTAAGCATGATTTGATTGTATAATGTTACGTTTTGTGCAGAATTGTTTTTGTTTTTAACAAAAAATCTCAGATGAATAAATTTTCATTAACTTTTTGCACTTAAATGTGTTGCCTGTTTTTTTTAACTCAATTATATGACATAACCATGATTTATTTTATTTGTAGCTATGCAGTATAAACCAGAACTGCTTGCACTTTCCTGCATAAACCTCTTTGTGGGCTGTGTTTTTGGTAATATACTAGTACTGTTTAACCCATTCACCCCTAAAGTCATGTTTGAACCTTACCAAATCAAAGACTGGGCAAGTCCAATTTATATATGTAGGGGTGACTGAGTTAACCACCGGATGACACATAAACAAAAGCAAATTATTTAAAAGAGTTAGTTTATTCACACATCAAGAACATTTTGTACTTGAAGTCCAGCATTGACTTCATACATTGTATCCTGACACAGGTAAGTTTCAGGTATATATTTAAATCATTTTGATTCTTCAATGTGGTTAAATCCTTATAACACTGAAATCATTTCATGTATAGCAAAGCTGTCAACATTACTGGGGTATAATAGATATCTGATTTAAAATACGGAGCAACAAAATGATTTGAGATAATTGGGGTATTCCAGATACATATGTATCCATGTCTATTTAAACAAACTTCAAATACATATGTAAGTACAGTATACCGGGACATTTTCATTGCAGTTTAATTTTCACATTTTTCACCCTCTTTTTGAATTTATCATCAATCCTTTCACCACTGTAGACCCTAATGGACTCATCCAAATAGACACATGGTAGAGTCTACTAAAGTTACCTAAGGTTGAGAGGGTTAAAGCAAAGATGAGTAACAACATGATACACATATATAGTACGTACTAACGTGTAAAAGCCAGAATTAATGCGGGGTGAACATTTATGTCATGGGCGATTAGGGCGAAAGGTTGACTGAGTGAAAATATTGCCGTATACAGTATTTGATATTTACAAACATTACATGTACAGAGAATATATATCATTTGATTACAAGTTTACTGTCTTTGAGAGGACAAAATCAGACTTGGGGATATTAAATATATAAACTCTATTTTACAACATTTTTCAACTTATGATAATCACCCTTCTTGGCCCGGATGTTAGTGGGCAGGGGGTCTTGGTGTGGGAGGAAACTGGACCAACATGGTCAGGCAGGTGACCCCATATATCTCACGCCTGATCGAGGAATAAAACCCAAGCAACCTTGATGAAAGGTCAGTGCATTATTCACTGCACTAGCTGACCTCTTGGCAATACTGTACTGTATTTTGCGAAAAACATGGAAATCATTTTGAGAGTACTCTGGTCATGTTACTCCAATTGACTGATAGACACTTCAATGAATAAATAGCTTTGTTGTGAAAAAATAACTTCTGAATATAAAAATACCTAATTAATAAAATCACCATTTTCTCTCGACAATTTCCTCAAGGAAATTTATTTCATGCATACCAAAATGTATTCAACAATCACACATAACACAAATAAATGAAAACAATATATATGGCACAAAAAAAGGTTACAAAGTTAAAAAAGAAGAAGCTAATGTTCATGTAGCATATTAAATTAATAAGATGCTGAGAAGCTTTTAATATGTTCAGAACATTATACAGGGTGAAAAAAAGCTGCACAAATCTTTTGTGAGTTATTGAGTCAAGGTTCAACAAATGAATTAAAGTAAGATGAATAACGTCACCAAAGCTTGATAAACATACGTAGATATCGTATAAACTTTCACTAAGGAACATTCATGCATGTGCTTATCAGCAGACATAATATACAACATGTTGTACATGTATATATATTTAAAACAAGGCTAGGGTAGAGCCAATGCCGTGGTTTTCTTAATGGTGGAATAATTTGGTCCTTTGCTCCTCGTCTGGATACCCGAAAGTACGAAGGGGATTGAGTAAAAGTGAGAACATCACCAAATAGATGCTGAAGAAGCCCACTGAAGGGGTGAAACCGGTCGACACTTCTAATAAACTACAAGAACAACTTATTGCTCCTTCACCTGTTGTGAGTGAATCTATTTTATGATTTAGATATATTTGATTTAAAGGGTTGCAGTGACCGAGTGGTTAAGGTGTCTGACCATCTACAATCACTAGCCCTCCACCACTGGGTTGTGGGTTCAAGGCCTACATGGGGCAGTTGCCAGGTACTGGACAGTATTTCAGTCAATAAATTACTGAATCCATATTAGTTGTACATCTCTGTTTTTGAACTTAAGAGATTTTAATTGATTTATAGTAGATTTTCTGTCAACCGTCTAAATGTTATGTACTACAATTCTGTGTAATGCTAAACAATACCCTGGGGTAAAACCAATATCAAGTGGATAATTATATACACTTAAATGTATTGTTCAAGATTTTCTATGTTCAAAACATATTTATTTTTTATCAAGAAATATGAAAGTATCGAATTTGCTGAAAACATATTATCCAGATTATCTTTGCAAAGATAAATGAATATGCTTCTGATGTTGGTCATCAAACACATGTTTACCAGGTAACCAAGCCAAACATAAAAGCAACAAGATGCAGAAATCCTCCTATGGAGTTCTCAACAACAGTTCAGAGAGTCGCCAAGAAGAGATTTTGGTGTATAAGCTACGGTATACTGATAAAAGTTTTCTATAGTTTTTCACCCTCTGAATGAGAGAGCATATTCATCAGTACAGTGAACATGAATTATGTAAACAACATAGTAAACACAAAATAAACAAATGTGTAGAGCAAAATTAACATCGGACCAGGCAGGCGAAAGTTTGACTGGGTAAGAATTTCCCACCAAACATAATTACTAGACAGGTGGCTTGTGTTGTGAGTTACCTCCCTTTGAACATATTACCAACATTATCTTGTCCTTCAGATTTACATGGGTTTTATCAATAAATGCTTTCTTGGGTATCTTTTTTTGTCTTCATGAATTCATTGAAAATTTCCTAATTAACATTCATATTAAAGATACATGAAAGGTTGAAATGTATGAAACTCGTTTGGTACAGAAAATGAATACCATCTAGTAATTTAAAGGTACACTTTCTTGATGTATAACTACAGCTTAAATTTGAGCATAATATTGATAATAATTAATTAAGTAATTACAACTCTTTTATTTCATTCACCCCTGAAATCTCATAATGGACTATTCTAACTTTTGAATTGGAAGAGTTCAAATGTGTCTTCAGGGATGAATGACGTAAAAACATGCATTTGCATATCTGCTATATATTGAATATCTATATATAAACAATGTATTGAATACTTCAACAGCTATCACAGATATCACTGCAACTGGTTTGCAATGTCGTTTCTTCCGATTTTGCTGAGTTCCTGCGCTAGTTTAGCAACCGTAGCCCCCCTATGTGCTATTGTCACCCATCTCTTTAACATCTGGAAACATACTTCGTAGGTTCCCTCCGATCTAAAGTCGATTTCAATCTGATCCATGATGGGAAGTTTAATGTTGAGACCCCTGGAGAGTTGACGTGTATTGGTACCAATGTTTTCAGCGACTATTTCAAAGTCATCAAGTGTCGCTTTTCTTGTTGATTCTGCAAATAAAAAACAGTTTTCTACAGATACTATAACAGAGGTAATTATTTTCTCAATTCCTCCGCTAGTAGTCGTACCTGGGACCTCTGGTTTACTAGCCTTATGCTCACCGTATGAGCTAGAGAGAAATTCTACCTTGCCAAGTCGGTAGGAAGTAGCTAGTACCAGGGTGACACACTCCCCCTCCAGGAAAGAACTTGTTCCGAACCATTTCAATGCAAGTATCACTAGTATTTTGTCAACGTTTCCAAGGTCCCTACATGGTCGCCAATGTAACAGGGGTCGTTATTCTTCAATGCCTCTGCTAGGAGTCGAACCATAGTATCTTACCAAGGTGATATTATAGTATCTTACCAGGGTAATATTACACTACCAACTTTTAATCTATGCGATAACATAATACAGGCTTGTGTTCTTTTTGTTGTATCATAATTGGTGTGTAAAGAACCAAGAAATCTAATACCAAATGATCCTCCGACTTTTTGAAAAGATTGCATGTGATAGGTTTGAGTACTGTAGGGCCATAGAACTACTGTCCATTCCCCACTCATGAAGAATGGCTTCTTGGTGGTCGTTTAACTCATTCACCCCTGAAATTTCATAATGAAATATTCCAACCTTTGAATTGGAAGAGTTCAAATATGTCTTCAGGGATGAATGAGTTAACAGAATTGCACAGGCTTAATCTCATTTTAACTCATTCACCCCTGAAATTTTGTAATGAACTATTCCAATCTTTGAATTTGAGGAGTTAAAATGTGTCTTCAGGGGTGCATGAGTTAATCCAGAAAAATATGAATCAGGATTATTTGTACCTACTGGTGAGATTTGCTGGGACTTGTTTGGCAGCAGATTTTTCTGAAGGAACCTTCACTCTTCCTGACCCGCTATTCACAACCATGACGTTCTCATCACCAACCTGGATGTTAGGGGAGTTTGCTCCCTGTTCCGCAGAAAAGGTAATCTTGGTAGAGCACCCTGGTCCTGAAAAATATATTATTTTCCAAACATCAAAATTAAGTTATGGAAAACATTCAGATTTTTTTTTCTTCATGCATGATAAATGTTGTCATGTTTTTTAAAAATTGAAATATCAAATTTCTTTGAGCAGCAGAGTTTTTAGCTTTCATTTTAAAATCTTGGGACACATTCGCTTATCCCGGTTGAAACAGTTCAGGTGGCACAGAAATATTCCACAATAAACAAACCCATTTGGACCGAACTGTAAGCAGAGCTAAAAAATGCAGTTTTGGAGAATAAATATAACAATATATCAAGAATATCATGTCCTTCTTACAGGTGTCCACTAAGTTATATAATGTATTTTAAAACCTGCATCTGGATTGACATTGTTTTATAAAGAAATAACGCAAACTAGCAATAGTCAGCATTTTTGTGTAGGGCAGGCACGTCTGGACCCCTCCATCTACAAGTGCTGAATAGGTCAGCCTCGGTTCAGAGAGAAACACAAATTAGGGTTTTATTCTCTTAAATTCACATGGAAATGCATTTGTATGATTAACAGTAACCGATACTAAAAAAAAAACCGATACTATTTGTTATCATGGATATATTAAGAATTCTAATAAAATAAATTTGCTTTTCGTAGCGACAGATACTGAATTTAAATATTTTATAAAGTCTCCTGTGTATAGGGGTCAACATTTAACTTACGTTCGTGTAGAATGGTGTGTGTTTTTCCAGTGTTTGTCGTTGAATATGTCGTTTTTGATGGTTCGGTAAAGACAGACTCCAAACTTGGGTTAGCGTCAATGGAAACATTCTGATCTAGGCTCTACAAAACACACACAAACAGGGGTACACAACTAAATAAGGATGTCTTGAAAATACTTATACATCTTGCATAGAAATTTTCCAGATTTGACAAATTTGACTCAAGACATCTTTTATCATTTATCAATTATCACATTGTTTACTTACAGTTTACAATCATTGAAGCAAAACGTACTTATCACATGTTCATATCATGCACTTCGAAGGCAATGGGGCAGGGATTTGGGCATCTCTTGGATTTTAATTAGATTCTTGTAATGTTTGTTATAGTTTGTATATCAAGGTTGACAAATCGGGATTTCGTTTTTGAAAGACAGCCCACCAGGAAAATTAAATTACATATGATGGCTATTTCATGGGGAATGCTTACTTCGTGACCAGTAATTTTTGCCTTTTTGGGCTCAGATGGTGGTGGGGTAGTGTTGGTAGCTTGGGGGCGTGGACGTACTTGCGTCTCCGTGGCACGGCGACTCCCAGAAGCCTCGGGGGTGGAGACTTTTGTACTTTGACTCGACTCCTTTGGAGTGGGGTTGACTTTGCTAGCACTTGAGGCTGCCCCAGGACTTGGGGGTTTATAAACTTGTTTCAGGCTCGTCTCCGACATCTGGCTCAGTCCATGGCCAGCTGTGCTGTCTTTTAGGGTCAATAGCGAGGGAAAGGGATCAACCTCCATCGGGTTATGAATTTCCGCTGACCCCGCTGATGCTGTCAATGCTGATCCAAGGCTAGCAACATTGTTGCCTGCTGAGGATACACTGGTCGTGGCTGCTGGGGTACTTGTAGCTGTCGCTGTCGCTACATTACTACTGCTGCTGGGTGAACTAGGCTTGGTAACACTGCTGGATGTCTGTGGTCGAGCATGGACAGGCGTTGTTGACTGTCGGACAGCCGGCTGTGCTATCGCCCATGGAAGGATATCAGCTGTACCCTCGACTCTCCCTGTAATATGCAACGATACAACATCATCAACCTCATTTATGGTGTCAGTGGAAATATTTTCTCCCACCCTTCACAGGTGTGTCTCCTGTTCTTGCCGGGAAAGTTCAGCTGATCACCCCCTAGGGGGAGATAGCCTCGTGCCGATTAGCACATGATCAATTGTGACGTCATTAAAATGCGTCATCGGTAATTGTGACATCATCAAAAGTGAATGACGATATGCATACCCCACATGTGTTTTGTTTACAAACATGGCAGTCGTGACTGAAATAATAAGATGGGAGAAAAATAATCATCCCCTACCTTTAGGGTGTGACAGATATCTTCAACCCTCAGAGTGATTTGTTTGGACGTCAAACCCTCGGCAGAATCTCCGGTCAGACAACCAAAAACATCACCTCTCGGGGTGGAGATTTCTCTGTCACTGTACCCTCAAGGTAGGGGAAGATTCTATTGATCACCCTTATAATGACTACCAGATCATCAACTTGTGTTTACCAAAGCATAACCATTCTTATAATGGTCACAAGAAATGAAAAGAATCAACCTTAAAATGTCTTAAAAAATATCAACCTCTTGACTAGTGTCAATAAATGATCTTCCTCCTATGAACTATGCAAAAAAAGAATTTGATTTAAAATATATTGTGTGCGAAAAAAGCACCAACATCAACTTATTAATGTCCACCAAAATATCCTCAAGCTTTTAATGTCAGCCAAAATATCCTCAAGCTTTTAATGTCAGCCAAAATATCCTCAAGCCTTTAATGTCAGCCAAAATATCCTCAACTGTACATAATTATGTGAAATATATTATACTCAAGTAAGAACGTTAACAATGCTGTCACACAGCTTCTAAACACGTGTGTCTAAACGTTACAGCTATCGTCCACAAACACACAACTTCTAAACACTTGTGTCTAAAAGTCACAGCTATCGCCCACAAACACACAACTTCTAAACACGTGTGTCTAAACGTCACAGCTATCGTCCACAAACACAAAACGACTTTACCAGGGTCACCACTGAGCAATAAAACAATTATAACCAGGACGGACAGATATACGTATTATTTGAAAGAAAATCCTGCAGTATGCATTGATAATCTTGAGTTTTCTTTTTATAATACAGAAATAGAATAATATGATTAATTCCTGAAAATACCCAACGCATTTAAATTTGAATGGTGTTGACTGTGCAAGGACTTACCATTAGGACATACCATTATTTCTTCCTTGTTCCATTATGAAAAAGTGTGTTTATTCTTACCTCACATTCATAGTTTTCCCTACATATAGTATACGGTAGTACACAATCTGTAACTTCAAATTACTCTGTCCGATCTATAGGTAACATCTGATTTGATTTCCTGGTTCTTGACCCAAAACCCACATTTCACTTTAAAAATCATGTGTATTTATTACCTGTCTATAATTGGGTACCGGTGAGATTTTATAATAGTTCTATAATTAGACATTACAAGTAACAACATAAGTTGGCACTATGCCAATGATTTACATGACAAAACCTACTATCCTAATCCGTCTAAACACAGGTCTATAATCACCTTACAAACTCCATTTGGTTTTGACCTTTACTTCAGAAATCTATTGTAATTACATGTATATAACTAGAACACTGACAGGTCAGTAAGGGCCCTGTCTTGTGGCAATATATCCCCCATAATCATCAAGAAGCAATCTGCCCATATAGCTGAGCTTGACGTTTGACATTTGGACTTCAAAAAGAATTGCAAGGAAGCAAAATATACATTTTACATGTACTATGATGTGAGTCTAGTTTCCTTCCACCTCCATATTTGCTGGGCTAACAGAAATGTAAATACCAGTGCAACACTCATTTGTTCTCTTTGATTTGTTTTATTTCACTTTATATACCTCCTCCATCAAGAGCCAGGGTCAAAGTCAGAGATCCACTTTGTCTTTGACCTTTGGACCCAAATGACCTTGACCATTAACCCAGTGACCCTGATCTTTGGTCAGTTGACTTATTCTTCAATTAAGACCAACTTTACTTCTTAATATCATAACAAAATGTTCATCAGTGAAGAATACAAAACTTGACCTTGACCCTTTGGACCCCGTGACCTGGACCTAAGGTCAGTTGACTCTGTGTTAAGTTCTGAACAACATTGCTTCATAATGTCATTACAAAATGTTCATCAGGGAAAAGGTACAAAATTTAACCTTCACCTTTGACCCAGTGACCTTGACCTTTGGTCAATTGACTCCTTGTTTAATTCTGAGCAACATTGCTTCAAAGTGTCATAACTAAATGTTCACCAGTGAAAAGATACAAAATTTAACCTTGACCTTTGACCCAATGACCTTGACCATTGGTCGGTCGACTCCTTGTTTAATTCTGATCAACTTTGCTTCATCATGTCATAACAAAATGTTCATCAGTGAAAAGATGCAAAATTTAACCTTGACCTTTCAATCTAATGACCTTGACCTTTGACCTTGACTTTTATCCCATTGTGTCTCTTTGTTTAATTCGGAACAACTTTGCTTCATAATGTCATAGCAAAATGTTCACCAGTGAAAAGCTACAAAAATTTGACCTTGACCCCTGACCCGATGACCTTGACCTTAGGTCAGTTGACTCCATGTTTAATTCTGATCAACTTTGCACCATAATGTCGTAACAAAATATTCATCAGTGAAAAGATGTAAAATTTGACCTTGACCTTTGAACCTAATGACCTTGACCTTTGACCTTGACTTTTTACCTCAATGTGTATTTTTGTGAACTGAACATCCTGACCAAGTTTCATGTACATCTGTCCATAGATACTAAATTTATCAGCCAGGAACAAAATTTGTGGACGGACAGACAGACAGACAGACAGACAGACAGAGTGATTACTATAGGGCACCCGTATCTCCGATACGGGGCCCTAATAAATAATAATAATATACAACATTTATATAGTGTCCTATTTAATTTGTAAAATTACTCTAAAGCGCTTTACAACATATGGATAATAGTAATAGTTATAGTCGTGAAACAAAGGCTTACAATCACTTTTATACATTTAAGCAAGCAATGTGCACATGATTGAACAAATAAAGGGTGGTATTTACATGACGTCTTTGTAGAGACCCTAAAATGCAGATGTGAAGAGGTGAGTTTTGATTTCCCCACTTGAATTTGGCGAGTGTATTTGACTTTCTAATAGCAGATGGTAAGCTATTCCACAACGTGGCCGAAACCCTCCCAAAGCACCGGTTTCAATAGGCCGCAGTGCGAGATTTTGGGACACACCAGAGATTCTGACTCCGACCGCAGTGATCGTGACGGCTGATACCGGGTAACAAGCTCCTGTAGGAACTGAGGAGCTGTTCCATTCAGTGCCTTGTATGTGTACGCCAACATTTTGTATTGCGATCTATCCGTGTTTTCTATAATATTTCAACTAGCTTATTAGACCTGAAATAAAATACTCTTTGCCTTAGCCCAATGGACCTGGAAAAAACCTTTAAGATATGGTTCATAGTTCATAATTCTCATAAAGAGAATAGAAGTCATTTGAAGCAAATAGGCCCAATTTCACTTTTTTGGTCCAGCCTCCAAACACCTGGGAGTCGGCCCCTGAATTTGTGCAATTCTGACTCTTCCAACCTGAAAATGCTTCAAACAAAATAGGGTTGATGTCCATTATACAGTTCCTCCAAAGAGGTCACTTTAACCAATATGGCCAAATTACCCCTCGAGTCCAATCTCTAAATGTACAATTTTGAATCCCTACCACTGGAGAATGCTTCCACCTAAATACGGTTGATATAGACATCTCGTAGTTCCAGAAGAAAAATCACTTATATTTATATGTCCATATTACCCCCTTTTGGCCCCATCCCTTAGCCCCCTGGAGGGTCATCCCCCTCATTTTGTAAAATTCTGACTTCAAATCAGCTAAGAATGTTTCCAGGAAAATTTGATGAAATATATTGAACAATTCAGAAGTTACACAGTCACAATGACATTCACTCAATAACCTCCGTAACATCAACAAGACGATATTTCCGTATAATTACAGATCCTCACTGGTTGGCAATAATTAAGAATTGACCTTCATTTTGATGGCATGTACCAAACATATTCTAAGTTAGCGCTCCATATTGTGTAATTGAATATGTTCGTTGCAAAATGCATTCATACTACTGTTTACGCAGTCAAAATGAAGGTCAATCCTTATATTTATGTCCAAAAAATGTTTGAATGTTACAATACGCAGGAAAAACAATTGAAGCAGGTTGCTACGATTGTAACTACGGTAGCCGTGGTTGCTAGGATAATATAGTTCCAGTGAATCTACAACGATATCGGAGTAAATTTAGAAAATCCACAGTGAACAACACTATTTTTCTTCCTTTCATAGCCTTTTAATTTTAAAATAACTAATGTGAGAAACCGTTAATTCGAACATTTTTATTCTTTTACAACAGTCGCCACATAGGTGTATTGACATATATATACTGCTCATGGAGTGATGCGGTGGAATGTTTCAGAATGAAGCCACCATTGTTTACGCTACTGTTATAGATATTTAAATGTGTAACCATGGAACAAGAAGTTTGTTAGCATCCCTTTGTTGTATAATTGGACACAACGGATCCCGAATATGTTTGCTAGCATCCCTTTGTAGTATAATTGGACACAACGGATCCCGAAGATGTTTGTTAGCATCCCTTTGTTGTCTAATTGGACACAACGGATCCCGAATATGTTTGATAGCATCCCTTTGTTGTATAATTGGAAACAACGGATCCCGAATATGTTTGATAGCATCCCTTTGTTGTGTAATTGGACACAACGGATCCTTAACATGTTTGCTAGCATCCCTTTGTTGTATAATTTGTTTACGCTACTGTTATAGATATTTAAATGTGTAACGATGGAACAAGAAGGTTGTTAGCATACCTTTGTTGTATAATTGGACACAACGGATCCCGAATATGTTTGCTAGCATCCCTTTGT